TCTTTTTCTTCTGAACTTTGCGGCTTTGAAAAATGCCAGAGGAAGCAGAAGGGAACTGGTAAATCAGGTATGGTGAGTCACGGCCTGCAGCCTCTTTGCTCCCTTTTTGGAGTCCCCAAAGACCACATTATCAAAATTCAGCAGCAAGATTCTCCACAAGATTTCAAACACAACAGGAAGTAATTATAGGTGTGTTAAGCCTATAATTTCTGTTTTTGTTAAAACAAACTCAAGACACCCCCCTGCCCAAATTATTTAAAAGGGCCTAAAATCCTAGGCTTAGCTCTTCCAGTGACATCACCACCATGTTCTCTGTGACCCTTGACTGTTAGAAAACTTATTAGAAAAAAGTGCAGTCCCCTGCCTACCTTTGTGGCAAGGAAGAGAAGCTGAAACAAAATCTTTGCAGTATTGTAAAACTTAGGGCAAGGATATGGCAACACAAACAAAAATGGATTAGAAATATAAAAGAGGATGTCACAAAGAAGATGATACCTGATTTTGATTTTTTACAGAGCAGATGCAGATTTAGGATGACAATTTATACATTTAAACCTATCCTGGCTGGAAATATGGGATAGCTTGACTAGCAACTACACAAAATCAACCTTCTTTACATATCAGAGAAATGGCTTGGGCATTCAACTTATTACCTGAGTAATTTGCTGGCTCACACTGCTGGCAGGAAGTAGCTCCTTTGGAAGAGAAAGAATTTGCTGGGCACTGCTGGCAGAAGGAAGAACCAGATTTGGCTGTGTAGGTGCCTGCTTTACAAGGGAAGCATTCAGAAGTGTAGGCCACTCCTAGGGAACATGGGAAAAAATGGTGGTAGACATGTTTGGAGCAAGCAAAATAATCCTTTGATCACCACCAACAAGCAGTAACTTGTGCTGTAAACTAGACCAGAGATAGGCAACATCTTTTTGGCCCATGGGACTAATTTCACCCAGAAGGCCAACCAATCAATCAAGGCCTCTCTCTTAAAGTTCCATCTCCTATTTCCAAGTCCCCTCACCCATCTGTCACAATCTGTAGCAAAAGCAGGATACCTATGAGTGTGGCTCTGCCTTGACCACATCAAACTCTCTGAAGAGAGAAAATGTGGAATATAGATATGGTTCTATTGGAGAAGAACTACTTCAAAGTACTCATGTCGCTTTGAAGCATCTCCTTCTAGAACAGATGATGGTGAGTTTTGCTCTGTTGACTATGGCATAGATAGCAGAGAAACTATTTGAGCCTGTCACTAATCCTGTTCCCCACCATTTTATTAGATTCAGGGCATGTACCAACAAAACACAGACCTGTAATCCCAATGTTCTTCACCAACACAGGCTTGGGGGTTTTGGACCAAACAGAGAAAGCTGTTGTTCTCCAGTACAAGACATTGTTGCCGCGACTCAGCTCTACCTACAGATATTAAAAACCTAGTTCAAATGCCCAGCTGATATGTATATTGAAATGCTGTGCTGACTCCCAGTAGTTTCTATATTTTTTCTTCCTCAAATCACTGCTAGTTACAATTTAAGCCTAGAAGCATTGTGGCCAACTGAACTAGGAATGGCGTCTGTCCTTACACTGTGTGTCTCCCATCCTCTCTCTGTAGTTCTCATCCATCGAGACTCCTCTACAGTCGGCTGGCACTGATCATTCTGAATCTGCAACAAATGAAGATGCAAATTAGGATGCAATTTCTATTCACAGGAAAAGAGGTTTGTTGGATTCCCTATAGTAGTCACCCATTTAAGGTGACACAATTAAATTAAATTTGAAAGTATATTCTACTTTTGATGCTAGAGAGAAATTTCTTTTTAGAGGTTTGTACAACTAATGATATTCTAGAAGTTGACTAACTTTTTAGAACTGAGATACCTTTCAAAGAATCCTGAAAGTTTTGTGAGATACGTCCCTTTCACCAAGATCTTGTGCACTGAGATTTGACCTACTTTAAAACATATTTTAATGTAATATTAAATTAATATTGGAGGGTTACCATTTTGGCACCTATAGCTCAGCCCCCCCAAAATGCGTATATTTAAGGCTACAAATTGAAATAGTGTATGCTTTTCTTGACTCCTGAAAAATACAGGCTGCTTAAAATGTTCAAACTGATTCTCCCTAACCTAGAATATTTTATTTAGACTGTAACATGCGAGGTGGAATTTTTTAATGTCCATTTTAATGATCCATGGGAACCTTTTCTATTACTACTACTTTCATAAAACATTCTAAAAGAATAGAGCCGCCAATATTAATTAAAAATAACAACAACACCTAAATGCATTTAATATATTT